GTTCATCCCAACCTCGCCGAAGTAAACGGGCTCATCGCCCTTCTGAAGGGCCACTTCCTTCGCATTCTGCACCAAAAAAGAAAATGCAGGAAAAAATACGGCCGAATGGTGCAAGACAGCAGTATTACGGGATTTGAATTAGTATGGCAACTTTATCAACCGTATTATTGCGGAGAAATTCCCCGAGGAAAGGAACGTGCGGGAGATATACCTCCCGATCGAAGGATAAAACAGGGGAGGGACCGGGGACAGGACATTCGTGGCCCCTTTTAGAGAGAGTATGTCCTCCCCCTCTCTGTGCTCAGTCTACCTTCGAGAGCAAGGTGGCAGCAAGCACTGCTATTCCTTCAAGAGAATAGCCATATGAACAAATGAGCTTCATCAGACTCTTCAGGGATCGGTACGCGTGCGTGTAATCCCACAACAACAACATACCGTGAGAGACCCGCAAAAAAATTAGGTGGAAATCTGTGTACGAAGACAACAGGCCGTTCAAGCGTGCGCAAACGACACGGACGAGCTTAGTACGCCTTGTTGAGAAGGAGCATGTGTACCTGGCACGCGCGGCACGATGTAGTACCCTCACGCACATTAGCGTTGCTGCCTCATTCAGTGTCCATCCCCTATTTGTTATGATCTACTACTTACTGCTTGGTTCTCTGACCTGCATGATGAAGCAGCAGCCGCAGAAGTACAAGGAGACGAAGTCCGGCAGAGGCGCGAAGCCCATGTCGTACTTGGCACGGAGGGACTGACGTACCTGTCCGTGGTGAAGGGCGGCAGGGTTTTCGTGGGTAAGAATTAGACATGTTGCAGGCCCGGTTGACGTACAGGAAATCTAGCAGAAAGGTTTGTGTGTTTCTATTATTATTACCATCGACCGCGCTAACCGGCTGACCAATGAAAAGGTGTGTGTTTTCTTTCTTACTTGGTAGTCTACACGCACGCAGCTAAATAGTCGTGAGTTTACACCGCTCCACAATCAAGTCATCCAACAACAACAGAACACAGAACGACGAAAAAAAAGGGTTATAAAAGGCAGTGTTGTGTCATCATCAACCAATCGTTCGTTTTCTTGGTTCTCGCCTGGTAAGAGTTCGAGAAGGCGTCGCACAGGTTGCACTCGCGGTCGTCCACGCGCGCGGCGGTGAAGCCCGCGACGAAGCACCCGCAGCAGCAGCTCATGATGCACCCGACGGGGTCCGAGAAGCAGTCGAACAGGGACGTCTCCATCCCGGGAGACATGGCCGCGTTTGCCCTCACCACGTTGGCGTTCTTGGCGATAGCCTGTGGATGTAATTAATCGTTGGTTACAGCGGTAACAACGACGATGGTAATATACTGAGTGAGATATCGATTCTAGTTGCGGAGGATCTCGCTTGCGACATCCTTTGATCTTTTTCCACTCCTCCTAAATATCGTCCTGATGATCGATACTGCTGGGCGTTTCGGGCTTGGTTCCGGTGACGACTTTGGTAAGCGGGCGGGCCGGGCGTGCTCTCCCGTAGCTGTTGAAACTGCTTGTTAACTGTCAAGTCACGTCTTGAAACTGTTTTCCGTGACGAGACCTGACCTCTTCTTGAACACAACAACCCCCAGCACTACAATAATACAAGCAGTAGACTGTTGTAGTCTACAACTCTTTTTCGTGGGGACTTCGAATGAGAGATGATGGTTTCTGCGCACGTGTGCATACACCATCGCGTCAATTGAAGAAGGTGGGGACAGGTCAACAGCCAGAGACATGCAATACTTTTATGCGTACTGCTGTGATGGCATCAAATAAATGTTCTCGCGGGCACAATCGACCGCACGTGTCGAAAAAGGGGGGGGTAATGTGGAGACCACCTTCTTCATAAAGGTACAATCTCCCCAAAACGTCTGTCGAGGACGATTCCCTTTTTCCACACACGGTGCGACTAAATAAACCCTTGATTTTTTCGATTTTGCCCTCCTTCCGTTCGTTGTCTTGCAGCACAAACCAGTACCCAGCCGGTTTCCCTCCACTCACTGAAAAGACTCCACCACATCCCGTTCGACTGTGGGTATATCTCGAATGGGTAGTCTTTCTGTGTGTGTTTTTATTATTCCTTAACACAAACCACGCCCAACCGTACACGCACAAGATGCCAACCGCACGCGATCGTACACTGGACAGAAGAAAGAAGGGCACATGCCTCAGCATGGAAGCCCGAATCTTGATCACATCATAGTATGCATATCATGTGATAACGACAAACAACAAACAGTCTTAACCAATGGTCAAGCATGATCACATGGTCAACCTCCAAATACCAAGAAAGGAAGAGTAACACAAAGGACAGGGTAAGTATGCTGTAGCCGGGACAAAATGGTCCAATCGGGAAAGGCACGCTGTGCGCGGTGGTGGTGAAAAACAAAACAAAACACCCGGACCGAAAATTGAACACCCTGCCTGGAGGTCTGGTGGTACACTATTTGTTGTGAGCACACGTGGCACCGGCTGTTGCCCTGCTCGCGGTTCGGCACACGGCGCAGCGAGAGGGACGCCTGTGAAGCGCGTACCATAATTTGCAGACCATGTGAGACACTTGCACGTGAAGTCTACTTGTATGCATCCGTACAAGTACAACGACTATATATACATACCCATACAAGAACTGGACGAAGGGACCACGCGGTCAGATCACGGTTCATACTTGCCCGTCAGGAAGATCCTGATCCATCAAGAATGTTGGATCTCACGATCTCACTCAAGAACACCGAGAGGGTGGGCCAATTCAACTTTTCGTTTATTTTAACGTCATGACCACAGGCAGGCACGGCTTGTTCCAACCTGCTTGTTCGTAGGTTTGCGACATATATACGTGCCTCGGCTTTCTTTACATTTACGTAGGGAAATTGTGGCATCGCTGCGGTTTTTCTCGTGAGCGTACGCTACACATGCGGCTCCATTTTTGGTCCGCCCGTTCTGCCGACCATCTGTGTCCAAACTCTTTTCTTAGAGATGGATTCGTCGGGTCTAATGTAGACTAGTTGTGAATTTTCATTTTTGTGAGGCTACCCTCTCATCAGCGCGACGAACTCGCCCCAAGGTACCGCCGCAAAGGCCAAACTGCTGAATCATTACCAATTCAGTCAAGCGCCTTGCGCTCTTCACACAGTAAAGAACGCGCATGGTGAGCGACGTTCGCTCCAAGAAGCGGGTGCGTGGGCGGAGTCATGAAAGAAACCACACAGCGCATGTTTGTAGAAAAGACTTGCGATTTGTCACACGACAGGCGGTTCATGAGCTTATCGAAAAATCTCTCTTGCTCTGCATATTTGGGATCACGGTTTTGTCTAGAGAGAGCAGGAGATGATGCAGGAGGGAGGGAGGGGAAAAGAGAGACACACACGTATGCATAGGGGCGAGAGAAGAGCGACCATCATTTTGTTGACTCTGGTGGGTATAGATAGATGGATGATGGACGACGAATCGGCGTAACGGCGCAACAGCTTTCGTTCTCGTTCAAAGGAGGAGCAGAACATTTGTACTTCGGGGGGAACAATAAAGCCCTGCTGAGAGCACGGCCAATACCAAACCACGACCGATCACCTATCACTCTGCATGACACTGGCATACGTACAAGCAGTGCACACTTCTTGAAGCGCACGTTCGCGAGAGAGAAAGAAATCCGCCACACGGGTCGTCAAAAAGGAACAGAAATCGAACACACCGCGACCAGCACCCGAATTTCTCATGGTTGAAAATTAGTCAGGTGTTGCTGAATCACGCGTCACACATCATGCGCTAGGATTGAACAAGCAAGGGGCCACCACCGGCGACGCAGCCACGGCAGCAGCGCGCAGCGGAAGAGTCTTAGGCGAGACGGCTATTCGGAGCTGTGAACGCTCTGGATAGAGTTGTCTAGGCTGTCTGTCTCATCATAGTTTTGAATGCGAGGACCTGCTAGCTAAACAGCGATGAGGTATGCATACAACACGCGGCTACACAAACATCGTCCCTTCCACCATCTGCTGCGTGGAGGGGGTGCTAAGAAGTATCCAGCGCAAGTCACTACTACTGCTGTCGCTCGCGCAATAAGCCCCCTGTCCTGGGCACAGGTTGTTGGTGCTGGCCACAAAACTCGTCCGAAAAACGTAGCCTCACAAAAAAGAACATTTAACATTCACAACTACGTCTGTCCCTGCAGGTCCCTCCTCGGCGTCAACACCGACTGCTGCTGTTAACACAAATACTCACCTCGTTGGCTGCTGCGGTTTGGTTGGTGGCGGCCATTTTTCTTAAATAAAGTGGTTGGTAAGGAAAGGAGGAGATTTGCGTTGGGGGTCTGGAGGCAGGGATGTGGGTTGTGAACTGTGGGTGTGTGTGGTGGCGGGGGCGTTGTGGAGAAGAAGACGGACGAGCAGCAAGCTGTTGCTTGCTGGCAAATAATTTTCCGGCGCTTTTCCGCGCGCCGTGAGAGCTCTGGACCCTTGCAGCGGCGAAACGGATATATCTCATCAAGATGCCGACACGAGCTGCGGCCACAAACCTTGGACCACCTCCCGACAGCACCGCTCACACCATGAAGGTTGCTCTCATCGACCACGGCTCAATGCTGCACGGGCTGCATCAATCGAAAATTCTCAGATCCTGGTGTAGTCGAGGTCGATCTACAGCAGTATGTAGAGTACATCAATTTATGGCCATGAGCTTGTTTGATGTGCGGCCTCAAAAATGCGCCGGTCTACAAAATGCACCGGTACCGGCAGAAGTTCTTTGGTGTGGGAGATCTCACCAGAAGTGTCCTGTATCGACAGAGAGTTGTAGACTCAGTGGGTGTGCCCGGCGAGTACACAGCTTTTGTACATTAATATCCGGATCGCCTTTTCGTGGAATGCCTAGGCTGTATGCATACAGCAGCATTGCTCACGAATGATTGTTGTGCAGTCCACAGTCCACACACCACACAGAAACTGAATAGGCTTATCTTGCACACAGCAGTATTGATTGGCTGATGGTACCCGTACAAAATCCATGATGGCTTTGTGGGCACCAAGTTGTAGAACCCACGGACGGTGTCGCTTGTCTCGATACCTGCAAGAGGGGCATCATCACCGGAAAAATGCAGACATACATAAATACCAGCACGTACTTTGCTGTGCATTTGGATAACCGGTCAAGCCCATGTATCATGTGTTGAAGGACCCTCCAAGCGCAGCAGCAACAAGCAGCAGAAGTAAGTAGTTACACCCAGACAACACACAGCTACATAATAGCACGGGCGGGCCTACGCAGCGCGCTCATCATTGAGACACCGAACGTTAGTATGTCGACTACTATTCGTCTAACCTGCCTGGAAGATGAACATTAAGCCTCATGCTGCCAATTCGAAACAAGAAATACTTCATATGCCAGTTCTCCGAAAGAAACAAAACATCTCACGTCCCGTGTCCCAAAACGCTTCAACCCGCAGAGGGAGCTGGTGGATCGCATAAGGCGACCGAGAACGACAGAGAGGGAGAAGCAGTAACAATACCAAAAGAGTGCCTCCTCGCGGGAAACAAGCAACCCTGGCAACCTTTCCCACTCCTCTAGAAGGCCTGGTGCGTCTGGCGCAGTGCCGCTCAATACGATGTCAAGACTCTAAGTACAGATGAAGGGATGCATTGGAATATGGTGGGAAGGATTTCCAGAGCTAATAAGACACAGAAGAAGTACAGACAAAAGGATGCATTGGTATATGGTGGGTAGGATTTTCCAGCGCTAATACTTGCGGAAGACAAAATTGTTCGACATTGTTGCCTACTTCGTCAAAAGCGCGCTGTCAATCGCCCCGTGTTTTGCACGTGCTGAATTCGTCGCGCGCGTTGTGTGCATTGATTTCAATCTATGTAACCGTAGACCAACAGCCTCGTGTTTCGCCCCCCGCCCCCCCCCAAAAAAAAACACCCAACACTCGCGAACAGAGCGGCCTAGGGAGCACGTTGGCCACAGAGTTACTCGCAACAGGGACGGAGACTCGGCAGCACGCCCCGCAACCCGTGAAGGATTGTTCTGCGCAACGGCCGCCACCGCCGCAGCCGTCGCGGCTGACACCTCTACAGTATCGTGTCTTCTCGGTCGCATTCCAACGGGGGGCTGCTGCAACCTTCCTCGAACGACATGCTGACGACCCAGCGCTGGACGGGCAGAAAGCGGGACATCCTCGCAGAACACGCCAAACGGCGAGCTGCTTTCAGCTCGGCAGCCCTCGCCGCTCCGGTACGCCTACCACCGCTGAAATATTGACTGGGCATGCTCCGAGGTGTCCGCCTGTTCGCCGCTCAGCCAGCAACATGGATACCGACTTGCGCGACGTCGCCAGCGTGGTAGGCGTAAACAAAAAGGCTTGAGTTTTTCAACGCCGCGATCGACGCGTCGACGGCTGCAGCTGCGGCGGCAAAAGCTGCGGAGCGCCAATCGTCTTTCTTGCGCCGAACCGTCAAACAGCGGTGATGCGCCACGTCAAGCTCCAAACAACAACACACGCTCAGAGCAACAAACTTACGGCTCTACGACGGCGCAGGTCGAGTCCTCAAGGAGAGTAACGTTTCAGGTTCGTCCAGGTTGCACCGCACGGCCAGCAGCACGGATGCTGCGCGGCGTGGCTCAACGAGGTTGCAACCCGCCAGCACGCCGCGACGGCCGTTAAATGAGGCAACCCTCGACGCCGGAGACATGACATTGCCGACATCGCCGCCGTCGATGAGGCGAACCGTGGTTCGACGTTGCAAGAGTGGTGTCGCAACGCCCTCTTGCCCCTTGAAGGATGCTGCAGTGTTGCGTGCCGGCATCAACGCCCCGGGAAGCAAGGAGGGCCACGACTGGTGGCTGTCCGGTCTTGCCACGATGCAGGCTGGCGGTGAAGAGGCGAAGGGCGAGTCCCCAGACGGGAGGGGACGCGATGGAGATATGTCCGCACGGCCCCGAAACAGGGAAAGACGTCCAGGACGGTTGTATGTAACGGCAGCGGGAGAACCGAGCAGTTTCCTTCCTGCAGTTAGCCTTGCTACTGCTGGTGCGCGGTCGAGGGGGTCGAGGCCGAAGAGTCTCGGCTCTCGAACCTTGAGTCAATCCACGTTTGACGAGGCGATTCGGGTTCAGGAAGAAATCGATCAGGTAATCGAAGCAGAAACGATACAAGCGACGACCGGCCGCAGAAGGGACAGAAAGTGACTAATAAAGCACGGCGCCAGCCTCGATGTTTCTCCCGTTCTCGAAGCTCACACCAGGAAGGATTCAAACTCGAGTCACGCGCGGAGGAGGAGGAGGAGGAGGACGAGGGGTGGCAACCTGTACGGCGGCCCTGTCTTCGCTGACAACGGCGTCTTCTGCCAAGCGGCGGGGCAACAGAGCGGTCCCGACAAAGGGACACAAGAAGGAGGAGGCAGGAGAAGGACTGAGGCCGTCCCTCTCCACCGGGAGTGCACTGGTCCCGAGACCGTCAGAGTCCCGTGACGGTGTTGATGAAAATCAATAACTGCAGCAGCAGTAGCAGCAGCAGCAGCAACGACACTCTCACCAGCGGGAGAGGGTAGTGGTACGGCGTGAGGATGAAGCCGCAGAGATGGAGATTGAGAAGCGTTTCGATACGCAAGGATTCAGTGCCCGCCGAGGGGGCGCGTTTTCGTCTGTGGCCATGAACAGTTCTCCATCTGTATCTGCAAGGAACCAGGGCCGAAGCCAGCGTCGTTCTCGAGCCGCCAAGCGGGAGAAATGGGGCGGCTACATCAGACAACGGCCCGCTACCCCGGAAGCGCAGCCTGCGGAGGACGCCACGATGGCGGCAGCGTAGGCAGCGTAGGCAGCGTAGGCAGCGTCGGCGGCAGCGTCGGCGGCAGCGTCGGCGGCAGCGTCGGCCGAGGTAGCAGGAGACGCGGCGGCGGCCGCCATGGAAACAGCTGCGGTGTTGTTCGCTGAAGAACCGCTGCCGTCCCCGTCTGCGTCTCCGCCGGTATGGGTTGCACGGCACCTAGACTGCTCGGACTCCCACGGGCTGGTCTTCTTGATGTCCGACGGGAGCGCCGGCTTGCTCTTCAATCAAGGACCACACCAAGATGGTCGTCGATCCCGCGGGGGTTACGTTCGACTACATCGAACCGCCATCGTCATCATCGACCGCCGCCGCCGCGCTTCAAGCACTACCGGCGTCGATTCACGAAGTCGAGTCGGGAGCGGGGAGGGGGGGGAGGAGAGCGTGCGCTGCGGCAACGGGGACGCACCAGATCGCCGACACCAGCAGCAGCAGTAGCGGTACCAGTACTCGCTCGACCACTTCCCTTTCTATCTCCGCAAGAATGTGAAGGCCCTGAGGTTTGTCTGGGAGAGCCTGATGTCTGACCACGATGGCGGTGCCGACGGCGGAGGAGGGGCGAACACCTCTCGTGAGGCACACCGAATGGGCAGCAGAGAGACAAGAAATACACGACCGGCAGACTCTGACGTTCATCGAGAAGTGGCAGCGCGCAGGCGATACCCACTGGTTTCAGCTCAGCAACCAGACCGCCCAGGTGGGGGAGATAAAGAGCGACGGAGCTAGTTTTCGCTGTTCGTCATTTGGCTATATGCTGTATTCAGTAAGCAAGACTGCGAGAGGTGTCTTCTCCTACTTATAGCATCTCCTCTCAATCCGCGTCGACACCCCAAACTTGTCAACAGAGTGTCTGTGTCTTTGCTGAGGGCACCTCAAACGTTTGAGCTATCTCAAGCCCCTTTCCGAAGATGGAGAAGGCAAACCGCTCGGGCTGCGTGGTCGTCGTCGTCATTGCTGTCTTTGTCACAAGCGTACCCAGACGGTTTCCGCCAACAGCGCGGAGCGCGCAGCTCAACCCCACAAGAACGGGCTAAAGAATCAGCCCCGGGTTGGGATTGGGGACTACAAAGCTCGAAGTTGGTGACAAGTTGACGCCTTGCTGCTGTTTATGGTACGCTGCTTTTCGGAAGCCTGTCTCCAGCGAGTTGGGGAGACATGTGTTCAAAGCACCATGCACGGAATACCAATACTCTGAAATAAAGCACGCTGAATTACCTTGAAGACAACCCGGCCATTGGGGCTTCACGTTCACTTGGAGCTACATAGCACCGGCGCCGAAAATCGCGGGAAGTTGTGCAGCTCCTGAAGGGGCCCAGAGATCCAAGCCGTCCTGCGTAAAGATGCGTACGCCACCTGGATGCCTCTGTTTTCCTGCGTCTATCCGGTGCTATGTGCCACCGTTTGCTCCACGCTTTCTCTGCTGTTGTTTTGGGACGCTTCCGTCAGCCGTTTGGGCCATGTCCTGTTCAGCGATGACACCGAGGTTTTGCTGTCGAAAGGTCGCCGGTTGGTCACTTTC